CCCCCCCCCCCGCCCCTAAACTTTTTCACATTTTCTTCGCGGTTTTCGAGTAGTCGCCGTTACTTTCTGGCTCAAACAACTAACGATAAGTAGGTATGGCCACAACCCACATCCGACGTCAGACACTGCAGAATCGTTGGCTGGTCTGAACTGTTAGCTGCCTTAACCACTGGCGCACTTTTTCCCGATTGTTCCGCTTCGCGAAAGCTCTAAGTCAGTCCGTGGCGAAAGAGTGGTGCTTAGCATGGAAAAGCCATAAAGTAGACAGCGCCGATATAGAGATAGTCCTGAATGATGCTACCCTTATAATTCACACGGGGATGAACGACCAATTAGAATAAAGCTTTAGAGCCACTTCGTGTATTTTAATCACGACTCTTGGAAACTGTATAACCGTATACGCGTACGATAACGAAAGTAAGTGTCCCTTTACTGAAAAAAAAAAAATGTCACGATATATCATCCAATCGTGCCGAATGATTCTGATTTTTTCGCGATACTGATTAGACGGGTGTGCGAATTTTTTGACAGATAGGGTTACTGACCGCATGACGGATATTGACAAACGAACAGACACCTAGGACTGTCGATAGTTTTAGTTAGACTGGTAATAATTATTATCAGAGTTAGTTAGATTGGCGATGTTTAATACCAGGGTAAATTTCATGCTGTTTATCAATTGTCTTATCGATTGATAAGAGGGTTGCAGGAGTAAACAGGAAAATTGAGATAATATCGTGAAATTGAATCGTTGGTCAATTTGTAATTGAACGATAATTTACTACCACTTGGAAATCAATTTTGGCTGAAAAATCCCAGAATCAACTGTAAAACAGGAATTTAGCTGGTTTTCGAAAAACGCTGGTATATATTGATTTCTTGGTAAATTATATTTTTTTTATATCATATATACAGTGTGACACCGTATCTCTTCAGAGCCCCGCAGCGCCGTTATCCTATTGGAAATAAAGCACGCGTCTTTTTTCGGTAGAATAAAATTGAAGTTCGTTGATTTGATTATCACTGATAAAAGAAAAGCACGAACGAAAGTTCAATTTTTCAGTGTCAAATAACACGCCCACCCTCGTTACATCGTGATTACGTGTAATCTCTTATTTTAAAAGGTCTCAGGTGATTTTATTGGATTTCAAGTGTACGCCGTAAAATCCCGGAAATCTCAGGAGCGAGGAAAATTGAAGAAAAGTGAATCCAGCCGGAAGATTACTCGGCTCCTTAAATCCTCGTTCCTCAGTGTTCCTGGGCTGCGCGAATGTGGTCGCGTACGTAGCTACGTGTTTACACACTTGCCCGACAGAGAAACACTCATTTCCCATATATGTATACGTATATACAGGAATGAAAATTTCTTATCATCGTCTTTCCAGGTCTTGCGGCATTAAAAGTCAATCATTCAAATAGAAATTAATATCGAACATTAATCCCGAGCCTGATCCGATGAAAGTCAATTATTTTTATTGAATTTTCATCGCTAACGTGGATCTGGAAAAATTGGAAAAGCGCATAAAGTAAATTTACACGCATGGCTTCCAGAAAGAATCAATCAATCTCATTGGCTTATTCTTTTTAAAGCTTGCACGTGATTGGCTGATTCCGTTTGAAAACCTTAAAAACTGCAAAACTTCGTAATTGAGACAAAGGCATCAATTCCAGTTCCACCCTTACCTCTTATCAAGCCATAATAATATGGCCAAAGTCAAATGTTGCATAATTGCCACGTAAAAAAAAATATTTAAACAAATTTTCGAAATTTCACTCAAACGAACTAAGTGCGCAACACCGGTCAGAATAAATAGAAATGCTAAGGGGGAACGATGGAAGAAACATGGATATCAAAGGTTGGCAGCCCTGGACCAGGAGTACCAACACTCACTGGACCCACGCGTTATTCCCTCCCTGTAAGCAAATACCAATAGCTATATCTCAGGATAATTTGTAACTGCATACAAGCATTGCGCATTCGTCCTGTGCAGCATGCAGTCGCACGTGGATCCAGAATGCACCACAGTCCTATATATACATATATATATTTACGCTACACTCGATCGGGACTCGTAACTCGTTGCGAATCCCTATGAGCTTTGCGGATTCCGTTCTCTCGCAGGTTTATCTGACTTGACCTTATCTGACCCCGAGAAATATCGAAGATACTCCAACCCCCCTCCCCCCCCCTCGTCCCCGATACCCTTGGTAATCCTATAAAGCCTCTAAACTCGCGCCATTAATTGGAATCATATAGAGCCGAAAGATCTTATCGATTGGAATTCAGGGATCGATCGATTATCGATAGCCTCCTTTTTCTCCGTCTCAGTGCCCAGGACGTTTTTGAGTCTGAAAAAGTTTTGCAAAATTAAATGTTTTTTAGACAATAGCCAACGTCCGGACGTACGTTTTGTTAGACTGATATTTTACATAAAGCAGGTTGAAATTTTGAAAAAAAAAAGAAGAAATTATGAAAATCTAATACATATGTGATATTCGAACGGCCGTACTTTTCTTTGGTAGTTTAGCTGAAGAAACCAAGCTACACCCTCCTCTCCCCCACCGCCGATCCATTTCTAACCACCTAGGAGCATCCTCTTTCCTCCTCGATATTGGGATATCGATGCTCTTATTGCCGTAAGCTCACTTCCCTGCTGGCTTCTTTATATCTGTATTGGAGGCAGCCGCTTTGAAATTTATTGAATATCCATAAGTAATGGGAAATAGCTGTAAGAACGTAGAAGAGCCATCTTATGCGCGTTATGGAGTGCATCCCTTTTTCGTATATATGGGTATCTATATAGATACATATCACGAGCGAGAGCTGTTTAGCGGAATAAACGAAAAGTATACAGAGTGACTCGAGTGAAGTTACGTATTTGGATATGAGCTTTACTTGAGAGAGGATCGATATGATTGGTGGGTGATTAAGATCATTGTATAATGACAATAAAGTATCCTTGTACTTGGTGTACTGTTTGAAACAAAATAAAATTTAATGCACAATTTTCGAAATGAAGAAAATTTGATATTAGTTTTAAAAAACCGCTGTATCGCGGTATTCACCCCATCTCCAAGTTCTGACCATCTAAGGGATGATTTTCGTGGAATTCCGTGTTAACATCCTATGCATAGATCCAACGGCAATCTTTCATCGTTCAAGACTTTTTTTTTTCTGAAAAATATTAAATTTTTAATATAAAAGTTTTATTACGATATCGAATATATATTCGATAACTTTGCACGTATTTATATTCGTTTGTGTAATTTTTTATTTATAAATTTTTTATACAAAAATTGTCTGGTCGCTTGATTCCAATTATCTGTATACTACAAGTATTCAGTTTTGATGATAATTTGTTTTAGCGCAAAATAGGAATTTTTTTTTTTCTTCACAATATTTCACAAACGCTGTACGACTTGAGAGATAACATTTTCAGGTTCAAATGTAACGTTGACAATTTTTTTTCTTTTATTTCACAAATTGCCCTCAAGATCTATATCCGTCCATATGTGTAGCCCCGTATCAGTGCCCGATGTTATTATGATCGATCATGGCTGCCGAAAGATAATGCGCTAAACCTCCCCCCCGGAAATGCCTAGTAAGTTTGAGAGAGGTTGGCCCCTGTCAAATATTTGTTAAGCTTTCGCATACGAAGGACCCAGTGTGTTTCGAAAGCTGCTAACATCGTCCCTCATAGTGCAAACAATACCGACAGACTGAAAATAGGACGATATCGAAATTCCGCCGCACTCGTCTTTGTAGTTTCAATAGGCGGACGAGGATGTTCAAATAAGTGAGTATTGGCACGCGCATAATCGGATCTATTCGCAAATATTATTATCGAATATTCCCGCGTTCAAATTTTTCTATGGCTAAAAAGTCTGGAATCGAGTATTGGGAACAATGGAAAAAAAAAAAAAAAAAATCTGGCTCCAATAGAATCCCATACATTCATGCCAGACTTTTCAATATCAATATTTGTACATCTTATTCAGATTTTTTTTATCCCGCATATCCATATTTTTCAAATAGTACGAAAAATAATTATTCTCATGCTTTGCACAAAAAACGTAATATATACATATAGCCTGTCGACATTCAGTTACTTTTCGGATACACAGAAAATGCCGGGACGCCGAACACAGTAGCCTCTGGCCATGTGCACTCTTGCTAACTGCGCGCCGAAGCGAGTTTCCCCTAAATCGGCCGTGTGGTAAATTTCCACCATTTATAGTCCGACGCTTCGCACTTACACGTCCCACACTTTCGTTATATTCGTTTGGCGGCGTAGAGGTAACTGGCTAAGTGCGCGTTTCATCCTCTTCAGTCCCATAGGCGCGAACTTAACGAGAGTTTGCTGTAACAGGATGATCAACCATAATGATAATAACCAAGAGGAGTCTGATAAATATTAAAACATGGCAAAATCTTTAATTAAAACAAAAATTTATGTTCATGACAAATCTTGTATATATACATATATATATATGTATTTAGCATTGTCTCCTGGGCTGTTTCACAAGGGAATAACGAATGGAATTTAAATGTAAGATTAAATCTTTAATCCCTGAACGACCCTTGAGGTCGTCCATGTAACCAGGTAAAATGAAGAAAATTTTTTTATAATTCCCATTTCTTAACCTTACTACGATGCATTATCCGCGGGCATCGCTTTCTCTGAGATTTCTATTGGATCTTAGTACTCCAAGTGCTTAGCTCAGCTAATACATTCCACGGTATTAAAGGAGGCCATATAATTTGATAAGTGTTACAAGGAAGCTATAGCTTTTAGATATTCAAAGCTTGCAGTAAAGGTGAAGCAAGTAAGAAAGTGAATATCCTGAGATTATTTTTTCTTTAAATATACACAGACAACGCCACAATAGACTTTCTTCGCAGTTTTTCACCTAATCCCCAAAATTTCTTAAGGACCATGGATTTAGCAGTCCTCCCTCACAATAATGATACATAGCTAATTTTTCTCCACTTGATTCTATCAAGGTTTACTTATGTATTATTTATTTAACACTAAACATACCACCGATGGGTCATTTGACTCTTTTAAAGCCAAAAATACGTTTATACAAAATTTTCGGTAGGTTTTGTGTCAAGACACCACACTGTACAGTCATAAGAAATTAACGTAAAGTTAATGAGCGAAACAAGAAAATCTATCAAAAGAATTTCTTCACCGTGAATTCAATTAAATCCATTAACGTCTACGCTTCCGTCTCATTACTTGATTATTAAATGTCCGCCATGGAATTACGTATTAAGGAGCACAAGGATTCCAAGGGATTCTAGGCTACAGCGAACATCTCGCGTATAACCACGTTGCCTACAACTGTGTCCTATTCACTGGATAGTAGTACGTAGTACAAGTTTCGAAACTGTTATTACTATCCTCAGGAACTCTCGCTCGAACTACAAACGTTTCTGTGTTCACTGTTGACTGTTCACTCCCTGCACTATAGACACCAAAAGCCTGCAGGTGTTGACCAATACTTGACCTTTGACCATGACAAAATCAAAGAGCTACATTCATCCCCCTTTAGATTAAGCCAACAGACAAAATACTTCATACCATTCCACTCCACAGGAAACAATAACACCCCAAAATAATTCATCCTGACTCTTACACGTATACATTGTATCAAGCTCGTTAACGATTTGAGATAAAAAATAAATCCTGGGTCTGAGAAGTCTTTTGAACAAACAGCACGTTTCGCCCCTAATCCTTTTCAGGGTCGGTGGCCATCCTGGTAGAGGTACTGAATTGAGGTTAATGTTCGCCGAGTTGGTAGCACTGGCACACGTAACAGTATGAATGACAAGCGGCCCGTATAATGTATGTAACGCGCGTAGTGGCGCGGCGGACAATGATTAATGGAGGGTGCTACTGATGAAGCAGGCAAACACGTATGGTTTACATAGTCAGCCATACTAGAATGAACTATACCTAACTATATATAGTTGAATAGCTGCTGTAATGCGACTCAGGTTTCGGATCCTAATTTGACCAAGTGTGTGTCTGTGGATTTTGCATGATAGGCTCTCGCTTTGTGACGATCAGTGACGACCAGTGCCAAATCAGTGAAGACATAACAGCTACTATTTAGGGAGAACACGATCCTCTTATGTATCCAGTATCATCAGAGTATACGATAACAGCATGAACTTGACTGATACCAAGTCCAATTAGATGTTCGTTCGCAGTGCGCAGGGAAGAATTGGTCGTCTGCTAAAACGTAATAATAACCATTACTATAAATAATAAACAAAATTGACTTTTAATTATCACTAATACTCACTCTCGATTATAACTCAAATAGTTTATAGATAATTCATTATTTCGACGGTCATATAATAATTTGTATATCTGGATCTCTGCATGGGATGAAAAAGTCTCCTGGCTCGAACATCACAAATTAACGTCATTGGACAGGACGAGACGTCGCAGTGCGGTCGTTCTCATGGGACACGGGAAAAAGCTTCGAGTCTCTCGTCAACATGAAAGGAGGACTTGAACGCGGCTCTGGATTCTGTAAGAGGAAAAGAGAGTGATGCGAGTAATGTTGATGAGCTTTGCAGTCGTATAAATAATGTTGCTACCACAGAGAGATTGTGGGTGACGGTCAGGGGTAAGGTAAGAGGGGAGAGGAAGTGTAGATGGAGAAACAAGAAAGCAAAGATTGAAATAAAAAGACGAAGTCAGTCTTTGAGGAACGAAGGTGGGTGACTGGCTGGCGCTGTAGTACAATGGTTGACTGGCTAGCTCGTAACGCGTGGGGGACCTGGCGAAATGAGTGAGTCTTAGATATATCCAAGAGATCCTCCTTAATTAAGAGACAACCTGCTGCTACGACGCTTTGCCCTGTGGTGAACATATAATATCAGTGTACCATCGGGAGTTGCACCTACCTGACAAGCACAACGGCGTCAGGTTCATTTAGTTGCGATGTTCGCTAAGCCCCATTATGAAGCAGCCGAGTTGCGTTAAATAATTACGAGGTAACTTATACATTCGCTGGGCTAAGATTTGGTCGTACGGAAATACACGTGCGCGTCGCGTGAATGCCTTAACTTTGTATAGGGGTTGCGGCTAATGTAAGTTCGGGCTCGATTTTTGGATTATGTTATCGCCGAATAATGGGTGAATTTTTCTTTTATAAAGAAAAGTCGAATCTGTGTCGCGGATATTTTTTTTCCTTGTTAATTACGTAATTGCGTGTTTAATCGTATGTTAATCTGGTATGGTTCTGGTGAAATTAGACGTGAGTGATGTTTATTGGTGACAGGGTTGGAAATGGTTATCTTGCTGTTCCGCCGTATCTTTGCGTGAACCAGTTTAAATGGACGGGAGGAAGGAATATAAGTAAAAATAGTGCAATTTGGTGCGAAATAGAAAAACGCCATCGGATAACGAGAGCGCGTCGTTGTAGTTCGTTGTAAATTGTGCATTCGCTAATTTCGCGAATCGTGCCAGCGACAATTATACCGGCCGTAATGTTATGCTCCGCTGTGTCGCATCGGCGTCCCGCGAACGCACGACGCCTCGTCGCCATCGGCGATGCTTAAAACACTCAGCCAATTTTCGCGCGCGCGGTATTTACGCAATTTGCAATTTGCGTAATGTCGCGTTGCGATACGAGGGTAGAGATAGCGACAGGTGGTGAAACTTTAGTCGAGTTATCGTCGAGTATTCGAGATACAATCTAATTGAAAATTCGGTTAATTAAATAGACTCGAAATATTTATAACAAAAAAAGTCTTGATTCAAACAAATCGGTTAGTAAATCATTAACGGTATCACGTATACGTAGGCCATACACGTGCCTTGCATTCCACAAGATCTGGAATGTGAAATGAGAGATAGTCGGGAATAAATTAATGAGATAAAAAAAAACGCCCATCATTCACGCCCAGTGCAAATGATGCTGTCCATATAAGTTAAAGATTCAATTTGGATCCCTTTCGTACCGATAATTTTAAGCGCCTATAGTATGCCATTATAGTATACACTGGTATATAGTAAATCCTACAGAAGGGACGACGCGACGCGTGGCGCGTTTAGGGGAATGACAATAAGTCACAGGAAGATATAACCATCGGTCAGCTTAAGCGGTGAGTTTAGTGCGACAGATTATTAGAGTCCTTTTACCGTAAATAAGAGTCTATCGCTGGTATAGTGCGCAGGACGTTACGACCGAAACTAACGCAAGCTACTGCAGATGAATATAATGTAGTATATGCTACAGTGTGTAGTATACTGTATTTCCATTCAAACACTTCATTGGGCAATCAGCTACAATTTTCCTGGTTGAGTCGTTGTATATAGCTTTGGTAATTTTTCTCTTGAAATAATTTTCCTTCCTCAAATTGCTCTGGATCTTTATTTCTCTATTCACTTCATTCAGCATTCTCCTTTGTATACTCTCCGATGCATCCTTTATGCTCATTTGATAGTACCATGATAATGCTGAATACAGTTTGCGGTGCATTCACATTGTGCTACCTGGTAATCACTTGTTTCCAGATACAAGGGTGAATCCTCATGTAAAGTGGCTCAATTGATTTCCTTGAAACAAACATATAATTTCACTGAACAGCATATTACACATTGCGCAATGTCAAAACTTAAATGTAACACATGAATTTTGATGTTAATCCATTTCCTAATTACTTGTTAAAAAATATTAAGATAATTTTCTTTTCTGTATCGAGAACTCATGAGTATACAATGCTCATAAATATTGGACACTGCATTTAAGCAGAAAAAATAATCTGTAAAAAGATATCTACGGTACTTGGAGGATTTTCTTCTATTTATCCCACTCTCCATAAATTTATCAGAATGTCAAATTGTGGAGAGAAAATGAAACCACTGAAGGCAATACGAGCTAGAAAAGACATCAACACTTGACTCTTTTTATTGGTGCTCATATGCTCTGTGCCTGTGTAGACTTTTTATTGCTATCTTCTATGTGTTTATTTTTTTTTACTGTGTACTGTGTCAGCTGTGTCAGATATATAGTGTAGAACATCTGCAGATATGAAGAAGTATAGGAAAAACCATGCTACGTAGGGGTATGAAAGTAAAGACTCATTATAACCTCTTTGATAAAGTTAGACTGATATTGCATTTGGACGAAACGACGGTACAGTCAAAGTCCTTTTGACGTCCTGTACATGACCAAATAAACATAGATTGCTAGAATTTAGTTTCCTGAAATTTAATACTGTAGTGAAACTATTACAAGGTTTGAAAGTTATTGAGGAGGGGGTGGGGTGGGAGGAGGTTATTGTTGGGTATTAGAAAAGCTGAAGATCAAGAAATTTAGAATACGTTAAAGTTTACAATTTCGAGAAATATTTAACCCTTGTAAAATTAATTTGCAAGCGAATTCGTAGACCGCGAAGTGGCGCAAACAATTTCTAGTAAGTTTTCTTAATATTCGAGGATTCGCGAATAATTTCACCATAAAGTTTCCAAGTTGGCATAGAACCGAGCATTTGCCGAATTGGCTCCGGTTACTCGACAAGCGTTGAACTGTTTTCTGGCATAAAATGCACATGCGAAATTGCAGACCGCGCTGTGCAATTTTCGAAGAGTGCTAAAAATATTGACCCTACCGATAACTAACTGAATTTCGTTTGAAATATCGTAGTCGTGTAAATTTTAACAATTTTGTATTCACGCCACTTTCACAAAAGTGTCCAATAGAAATTCACGAAGTTACGTATAAACTAGAATTTCATGAAAGTACTAAATCCGCGTAATAGCAATTTATAATGCATATTATCAAATTTCTTAAAACTATGTTTTACGTTCGTTATCTTACAAGAAAATGGCCACCATTTGTATAGAGCAGAAATGAGGTTATTACAAGGGCTTCCCACTTCTGGTCTGCTTTACTTTTTCGACATCGCACTTTAGTAAGTGGTTTTCCCTTATTTATTTTTCAGATGGTCCATCTTCTCGAGAATAGAAGAGAAAGGCCTCTTTGTTTTGCTACTTTACCATCAAATGGTCCACTAGAATATCACTTCCATTCTGAACAATCGGCAATTCTTACGCGTGTATACACAATTTCTCAAAGAAAGCTTCAAGTAATAGAAGTATATTGGAATCGAAATTCTAAGATCCTACGTCGATCGTCTTTACAAAAACTTGTCAAAATCATCTAAATTTCCTACAAACACTTTTCAAGAAGTATTAAAATAAAAAATCCTTCATCGAGCGTCTTTACAAAAATCGTTCACACAAGTCCCCAATCTTAGTGACAATCATAAAACGTTACCTGTTATCAATAGTGGAGCATTATCCTCTTGCATATAGAAAAGCAATTGTGTCCTGACAACGCAGCGTGACCATCCCATCCAACAGCATAGGCTCGTACGGGGTTATGTTGATCGGAAATCTGTCAAGCGTAGCCACAATATTGTTGCGTAATCCCGCGTGTTAATTCGACACGTATCTCGAAAGCTGAGGCAGCATCAGCGTCGATAAGCTGTCAATATACAGGACTATAAGCCTTCCAGTAGCATCAGAATACTGGGCTTTGTAATACACATCGTTCTCGCTATTACTACGTTAATCGTAAACTTCCAACACTGAATAGAAATCCCGAGATTGACACGTAGGAACAAACCCCGAGAAAGCGAGGCAATCGTTAAGTAAATAACAGGTTAAATATAATATAGATATTTCGTTTACTATAGAGATTTTTTTCTTTGGCCACTTATCCATTGTCATACCAAATCCTTCGTTCCGTGACGTGGTATGCCATCTGATTAAAGTAGTTAGCGACTGAACTGCCACCTTTGAAAATCTCGGTTATAAAATGCGACTCCGCAAACGGCTAGAGTCACGGAGTTTCACGGAAGTGCTTTTCATTTTCTTGGCTCGTAACGCGAACGACGTATATCAAATATTTAGCCCCATTTAGTGACTGTGACAACAGTTTGGCAGAGTCACGGTGCATAAAATTCCATGTAGAAATTTGCGACAGGGTCCACTCTGGGCTAGAGTCACCACCGGTGTTACCAAGACTGGGCCACCGTCGGCTACCAGAGTTGGTATTGCAATGGCTGTTCATTGGAATGATAACATGGGTCCAACCGTTGGAGAATGGCGATGGGGCATTACCGACTACGAGTACTGGCCCAATATTATTTCAGAGCGTCGGCCAAGCATTGGTTGACGCCACTGGCCCAATATTGCTTTCGAGTGTCGGTCAAGTCAGCAGAATTTAAAACAATTTTAAATTCTAAAAATGCTAGGTTAACTTCACATAGGTGGATATTTAACGGTTATGAAATCCATTAAGACGCCATTTTTAGAATAGATTTACAATGTTAATTAGACTGTTGCACGTTTACAGTCATGTAAGAAAGACGTCTCGACAAATATTTTTTTTTATCGAAATTAAAACAAAGAAACAATGCTTTTGAAATTAATCATATAGGTTGTGCTTCCTAACTCAGTGGAAGTAACGTGGAGAATGTTGTATAGTTTTCAGATATATTATGGAAAAGGAGGAAATACGACAATGTTTGCAGTATTTGAAGTAAGTTATGAAACATGACCATGAAGGATGAAGAGATTTGTGCAATTTAGGTTATTTAAGCAGTCGATTGGTACTTACGTTTCTATTATGAAATAATACACTAACTGCGTATTGGTGTTTCACTTCCTAGAGTTTCTTTGTTACGAGGTCCGCTAATCACTGTCACAGAACTCACTCTCTGTTCATGCCACAAAGAAACTGGGAAACTGATCCGTGCATCAAGTCGTGGCGCTACCGTCGTCCTTGCGAACGTTCGAGTGACGTCGGTCGTCAGGCCCGAAATCCAAGAAACGACGAGCCAACAAGGCAATTCGATATACGTAGTGATAATATCGTATACTATATATTTTTATGTCCTTCAATTTCATATTATATATATTATATGTAATTAAAAATTATAGATATATTCTAGACACATATATTGTTCGTATTAAATTAATTGCATTATATGTGCAGTAAAGTTACAGCGAAACGCCTGCGTTTAATTTTTAATACGATACCATATTAAAACGATGACGAACGAAAAACGATATATCTTGTCACCGATTATTAAATTGTTTTCGATGAGATCTTTAGCTTCCGTAATAAAATCATCTAAATAATCGTTAACCGATTGAGCTTTTGAATCCCCACAGTACAGTGCAACAATAAAAGGTTGTACGTCGTAATCTTCGTGGTACACCTGGGCTAAAATCGGCCAGAATTGCGAACGCGAGTGTCGATAAATTAGAAGACCATCTACGCTTATTAGAACACTGATATGATCCTCTGTGTATACATTAGAAATTATCCTTTCCCATCCGTCCTTAATTCCAAAATATATATATTTTCCGTAAGTTCCTCTAGCACTCGACATAGATTGGATATCATTTTTTCGCTTATTTGTACGCAAGAGAGTTGTAGCACTTTTTGGAAGTTCACTATGTCCTTCGCTGCGAAGAAACATTAATAATTCTGTTATACAAAGCTGATTTAAAGTATCAATGTTCCGCAAAGCCCAGAATTGCAATTTAGTTGTTATATTTCCACCTAAAATGCTTTGAAGATTGTCACGTGAATTATGAGAGAAGTTTGTTATGTCACTGGACACTGAGGTAATAGGTGAGATTGAACTAGTTGAAAGAAGTGTTCCTGTTGGATTGTTTCTATCGTCTTCATCGATGGAATGATTGATCGGAATGTTTTCAACGATTTCATTACATGTGTTTGATACACCTGGGTTAGAAGTAGTTTCACTATTACTTTCACTCGACGAGCTTGTACGTTTCCTCTTAAGTTCTCTGTATTTTTTTAAACGGTAGTAGGAGGACATTTTCTTCGAAATGTGCTTCTATATTATTGCTGTACAGAGATTTTTTAGCACAAGGATGGATACTATGCACCGTGACAACTGAGTTCTAACTAAAGTTCTACATTCTCGAGATGTGCTACTACCCGATCCACACTGTTAAATGCCGGTAGTATATCAGATTCGGGATTCATTATAATTTGTGTTGTCCCGACATTGGGTCGACGCTACGTAGACAATCAATGCCAATACTGGGCCAAGTAGTGAACACAAACGGCTCAATACTGTCTCTGTATCGGATGAACGTTGTCTATCAACGAAATTGCAATCTTGGGCCTATATCAAGATGCATCATCGGCTCAATATTGGTTCAATACTGGGTCGATGCTCCATAGCCAAACAATTCCGATGTTGGGCCATCGTACTGCGCACAAGCGGCCGAAAGTTGGTGTGACATTGCGCCGATGGTTAATACATGAAATGCCTTAAATCAGTACTACGATTCACCATCGGGTTCGTACCGGCAATATATTATACCCACTATCGGTTAAGTATTGGGCCCACTTTGTCAGCAAAGCCTGGTAGCCAAAGTCGGCACACAATCGAAATTTCTACATGGGATTTAGTCGCACAAGAACCAAAACGACACTCCGCGGCACTGGTGAGATTACGAGATGGCGCTGTCATCGTTCACTTTCATGAATACTTCTCCCACCACTGCTCTCTACAAATGCCGGGGAACGAACGACGTTTTCTTCTTTATTTTAAACCCGAATTCTCGTGCCGACCGTCGGGACGAGTGTAAGTGAAATGAGTACGGTGAAAGAGCGAGAGGGAAAGAATTCTCGTTCCTGTTGGAATGAGAATTGAGCCCTATTAAAATGAAACATTCGGATCGACGCGAACTGCCGACCTGATTCAAGTTTCGATGGAAATCTGGAATAAATTCGGCAGCTGTTTACACAGAAGACTCGCTTCTCGTTAAATTTTTGGTTTGGTATTTTATCGGATTATTTACAGATATATTGCATAGGATAAATATTTCAATCATTTTCATACCATTGGTATTGAGTTCGTAACTATCGATACGAACATTGATATTGCGAATTAATATTAATAAGTTACGAATAGCTTTCCTCATTATATTTCCTTTTCCTTTAGTGAATTTTTTACGGACTTTCAAACGTTACGGCAACAGATTCAGTATTTATCTTGTTAATATATAAAAGTTCGATTCCGAATAAATGTTCTTTGAACGAAGTTACAGGTACGGTGTATCAAAAGAGTTCCAATTATCCAAGAGATAAAGGTTCGCTTTAACGATCAGACGATTATGTCCGATTGAAACTTTCTTAGTAAAGATTGGGTGGTAGCTCGATCGTGCGTGGCTAATTATGCAATTTCTTTTTTTCTTTTCATATAAGGATGAACCCAAGGAATGAGTTATGCGATAATGACTTAGCGGCAGATGGAAGCAGAGAAACATCTAGAGAGAAATGGACGGTCGTAATGCTGACAGCTCGGTAAGGTAAGAGCGACTCTAATGTTACTTCTTGAAATTCGCGAATTTCAAGCACTCGACGAGCGTCGGGACGCTGTGTCAGTAGGGTTGCGGAGGTTGCGAGCTCCTTGAGTGAAAAGCGTCGGAAATTTTAGCATTCAAAAGTTTACTTTTCCATTTCATACGACGCACTGCTTTCTGTCATGAAAAAGCAAAAAAGATGGAAACATAACCTAGAAATATTCCGGACTGAATGAGATTGACCTTAATTACGTTTCAGTCCACACTGAAATAATTAGGTCATTCCCAATTAGTCCCACCGTAATCAGACGTTTACTAATTCATAAGAGATATACTCCAACCCTTGAGATATATTGCTATCTTGATTATTATTATGTATAAATCACTAACGACGTCCTTAAGACTTTTCTTTAGGTCTAAAATTTTTTATTAATTTTTCATACAATTCTTGTCAACCAGTGCCACAGTGATTGTCAATAGGGTCACAGCGTGTTCGCTATCACTATTTGCCATTTATCCCCTAATTGCTCTAATGAAAGTTTAAAGTGTTTAACGTTGACTAAATGACGAGCTGTCGGTATGGCAGCGTTGACAGGGTACTGCATAATCAAACAATATCGTCTAGGTAGTTCAGGAACGGCACTAGGGATTTTCTTATTAACATGGCGCTGCCTGTAACGTGCAAGGCCCGGCTTCGCGTAATCCACCCTGTGTTATATCCAGTCAGGGTTACGCTGGGTTAGTTACTATAGAATCCAGTTGGCATCTACCAGCTGGTAACCATTCCATTCACCTTTCTTCTACCCCAAAAGAAAACTGTTCCTGGCTGGCTGGCAGACATGCTAGGTGGGTGGCTGACTGACTACTGGGGGGTAGGACTTTTATGAGCCGGAAACATACGAGGGTTTGTACGACGCTGGTCTTTTTCCCTATTTTCTTTTTTCATTGTTATTATTATTATTTTTCCATTAGCTACCTACATCGTTGGCGCACTAACATTTATGTCTCAGCGAGCCGCTTCTCCGCTTTTTCACTCTTTCTTACCCTTTGAATTCTTTTATTTTTCTTTCTCACGATATCTTTATCGTTGCGAAACGCAACGACGGTCAAGGTACTCCGTTACCGAAGAGTAAACAGTTTTTTGATTTATTTTCTATTGCCCTGTTCTTTTTATATTTTCTTATGCTTTGCTGTTGTTCACCTCAAAAGTCGTAGAACTTGAGAGTTACTGGAAATTGAAAATTTTTTTTTCAACTGCTCGTCTTGTATGCTCGACCGCGCGAAAAAATCTATTTGTGAATGGCTCGTGATAATGTAACAGGAAAAGTACTAAAAATTATCGTAATTATAATGATAAGCGCTCACACGAAAAACGTAAATTAAAGTGGACGACGAAGTCATTTCTCAGGGCAGGTATTATTCGCGAGCGAATGGGTCGTGGCAAGAAATGTAATGGCAACCTGTCTACGTATACCTGCTCCTTGCGTCATATACTTTGCAAATAACTCCACACCAGTAGGTACTGTCTTCGTAATAATTTCCTACAATTCCAAAGACCCAACAGAGAGGTACAAGACAAAAACAAAAAGGGACTACACTCAGAGACAGTCTTTTCAAAAAGTATTGACGTTACTCAAAAATTCTACTTTACTAAAAAAAAAATTTTTCAACCCCCAAACATAAAAAATTTCTCAAAATGTCATCGACCACGTATCGAATCAGGCGATAAGAAAAACGTTCCTTCCTCCTATCTCTCATTCAAACGTCGTAGCTTCCCTGGGTCGCTTGGGTAAAACTTTTGTCGGGGACTCCTCGCCGTTGGATTTTAGGGTCTTTTGGGTGGTACCAAGTGCCACTATATCCGCATCCAAATGTATTTCCTTTGACGTGCCTGTTCTGCGCCGGAAGTGTGAATCAAAAGATCGTCCTCAGATTTTCGAGCGATTCTCACGTACTTGCTGAAATATTTTCGAAAAAAGGACTCGATAGGTCTGTCGCTTATCTGTACGTCACCCTGTATACCGTAGTACGGCATATCTATACTGTATTACGTATATAGCTATATCCATACATATATACGGTTTATTCAGATATTTCGTGACGGAAGTACCAAGGATCGCGAAACCGGATGTGAGCATAGAGTGTCTAGTGATTTTAGAAAATTTTCATCCCCATCGATGCGTACTGCATTTCGTGTGTTTTTAGGATGGCCGGAGGAATCCAAAAAAAAATTTTTTTTAAACTCTACCAACACACGCCTCTTCGGTTAAGCGACCTGGGCGCTAGGCGACGCCGACGTCGACGCTCTCCAATAAAAACTGCGCTCTGTAGTGGAGGTATCTCGGCATAAATAAGACATTTGTTTTCAAAGTAGCGCAGGGCATTGCGCCAAACAATGGAGAGAAAGCATTTATGTAAAACATAAGAAATAACTCGCGGGCCAACCAGTCTTACCCCCAGACACGGGGTCGCCTAAACTTTCACCCTTAAATAGCGTTCTTTGTCTTTTCCATCTAGGAAGATTTATTTTCG